AGGAGGAAGTGGATGTGGGCGGTCCACGTGAAGACTTCCTCAGCGAGGACGACCACTCCCCTACCGACGCCTCCGAGGACTCCGTCGAGGTACGCGTCAAACCTATCCGCGCCCCCACCCACCCGCCCACGCCGCCCACACACCACAAGTTCCGCAAGCATTACACCGCCCGCGCCTCCCCTGGGATTGCCAGCCCCGTGGAGCCGCTGGTGGGGTCGGCGCCGCTGTCGCCGGAGACGCGGGCCGCAAACCGGAGCCGCCGGAAGCCAGCGGAGCCTCGAAGACTCTGCCATGAGCCGATCAATAAGCGTCCACATAGTCCGGATCCTCCCAGGACAACAAAGACTCTGAGAGGGGAGAACCAGACCGATGTGGGGGACAAGAGTGCTCCTTCGACCCCCTCTCCAGGGGCGCCGCCCCTTTTGGCCCACCATCCTCTCTTAGGACCCATAGGAAGACCACCCTCCATGGGTGGTTTTCCGCCCCTCCTGCTGCCACCAGCCTGGCCGCCCGTAGCAGCGCAGTGGGGATACCCTCGTGTGGTGGCGCCCCTGGGGTGGGCAGGTCTGACCCCTGGTCTCAGCCCACACCCGTACCCCATGTTGATGCCCCATCATTACCCTCTCCACCGCCCCTCGCTACACCAGCATATCCAACCAGCCTCGCCCCCGCCCACGTCCCCCGCACCCGCTTGTTCGCCCACGGAGGAGCGGCCAACGAGGGACGACCTGCCGCTGCCGCTGGTGACGCGGGTGGTGCCGCCGCCGGAGGTGACAGCCATCAGTGGTGGAAGCAGCCACCAACACCACCACCACCCGAGCCGCAGCAGCACCGAAGTCAGCGTTGTCCGCAAGGCGGGCAAGACCTCGTCCAAGTTCCTTAGCGTCGAATCTCTGATCGCGTCGAGCAGCCCGTCCCGTGAAACTCACCACGATTTGGAAGACGACGTGCCGCCCAGCGTGCAAGGTGACCCGGGTCCCACCGACGACGAAGATACCATTCACTCCCTGTTGCAGCCCAACAAACACAAACAACGAAACTACAAGAACATGACTCGGGAGCGCCGCATCGAAGCCAACGCCAGAGAAAGAAATCGCGTCCACACCATCAGCGCCGCTTTCGAGAAGCTCCGGACTTCGGTTCCCGCCTACAGTCACAACCAGAAGCTCTCGAAGTTGTCTGTGTTAAGAATAGCGTGCTCGTATATCCTCTCGCTGTCACGGCTGGCTGGCTACGACTACAGCGAGGGGGGCACCGAGCCTTCCTTCAGTGAGTGTGTTGATCTCACCACCAGAACGATACAGGTGGAGGGAAAAGCTAAGAAGAAGAGAGACGAGTGAGGAGAACGGGCCAGGACTCGCTTACCTGTGATGCTCAGCTTCCGTTACAGTGATCTTCCTCCAAGTACAGTGAACCTTGAAATCTAGTGTTCCTACTTCCCCCACCCACCCATACCACATCGTAGAGTCCTAAACTGTTCAGTGTATCCCCAGTGAGCGCCCCGGTTGAGCGCCCCGAGTGCTTCCACATCACAAACACCTGTGACAGTGTTCAACGTCTTAGTCCCACCGTGTGCCGACTCGCATATTTATTTAAGTGCTACTATAAACTAAGAAAAGACCTGGTCTGTGACATAGTTAGGTAGGATTCCAAAAGACAATTGATATTTTTAACTTTTTATTCTAGTCGAAGAGGGAAAGGCGAAGCCTTCCACGCCGCCCCTGCCACACTGAACGTGTGTTGCTGCTGCAGCTCCTTATGCCATCGTCTTGTGTTGTTGCCGCGGCTCTTCACGCCACCGTCTTGTGCTGCTGTTGAGAAAAACTACCCAGAAACACAACAAAACCGTCCACTGGCTGTCCGCGTCCTCAGAACTTCATGTCCTTGTACGTTCCAGGTTGACGGACAGCACTCGTGGCTGTCATCCATCCCTGTCACTGTTCATTACCTGTCATCGTCATCCGTGTGTCACCGCTACGTGACTGCTTCCTCAACATTCACCAGTGTCCGCTTCTCAGCTATTACGATGCCGTCTACGAGATACACAAAAAAATCTTTTGCAATACAAAATTTCTCTCCTACTTCATTATTTTCGTAATCGTATTTTGTCTCAGCTCTGATATGACTCATTTTTGACACTATTTTATTTGCCCTGAGGACCAGTACCTCCTCTATCCCCACATTTGTTAACCTAAATACCTATGACTGAATCCTATTTCTTCATCATAAGCATTAGTCGTGTTTAGGAGTTTCTTCTTAACATTAAACAATAACTAATTATATCTTGATCAGTGTTTAGCATCAATACGGCTGTGCTCACATGTAATAAGGTGCTGTTTATAGTACACATTGATGTGAATTGCTTCAGTATAACCAGAGCGAGCCAAGCCTTGTAGGGCCATTGATATAAATGCTTGTTCTAGGTTATATAGACGCATAAATAATTTAGATTTTGGTCTATTGAAATGAGCGAAACGACAACTCTTGTCATGTTTCCATTATATATATATATATATATATATATATATATATATATATATATATATATATATTATATATATATATATATATATATATATATATATATATATATATATATATAACATAAGTAACTTATGCTTTTTACTTTGTCTTCCAAATTATATGAAAAAAAAGTTGTACAGTTTTGAAAAGTATCTTTTGAATTATTAGAATGATTATTTGAGATATTTTATTTATTTTAATGATTATATTTCGTTTGCTATCATCAGTGTTTTTATAGTTTATATTTAGTTCAGAATATTTCCTCGTTACCCGAAACGACAAGAATATAAGATACGCTTGTTTTACCGGATTCCAAACAGAGGACCTCCTAATGTCCCGCTCTGGTTGTACATGTGTTTTGTTACTGTGTTTAATATTATTTTTTTGCACTTCTCCTTACGTTGCAGTGGTGTCAAGCTCCGCAAATTTAGAATAAGAGACACAGCACTGTGGTTGTAACTATTCACAAGTAAACCAACAGCTCGAGGTTAAACTAGGCGGTGTTTCGATTCGTCCTGGGTCCATTACCAAGTCGCCAGCTACTACTGGTTGACGATCCAGGGCAGAAACGTCGGCTAGTTTCATCGCGAATGTCTGGCACTCTTAGGAATTTAATAATTATACACTCACATCTCTTAAAGGCTCCTCTTCATACAGCAATTTTTTTCATAAATGTGATGGAAAAAGCGCAACAAAAAAAATAAATAGTACACTCTGGGTGTACTTTACACTTACGAGAAATTGCCTCATGTACGAGAGCTTCAAAAGAGAGCTGACTATCAACATGCTTTTGTTTCGTTACGTATTTCATTATTTTGTTAATAGATTTATTTAAACATTTCTAATTATTAAAAAAAAATATAAGTTCTATTGACTTGGTACCACTGCAAATATTGGGCGTTTTCTGCTGCCTACGCAAAGTTCAAATTTCCTCTAATAGATGGCAGCAGCGACAACCAATCCAGGGGAGGAGATGCAAATTATTTCCTCTCTTTGATTCGAGGATTCAAACTCCTCACTACGAAATCTGAGGATTTTTATTATCACCTTTAATGTATATATTGTGAAACTGAAGAGAGAGAGAGACTAAGGGAAAATGTTAAACATTGTTAGAAACGAGAAAATATTGAACACGTACCGCCAGTGAGTTTGCTTTTAGTCTGGATTGTGATTGATCTTTAATGTTATTTGATTATCTTCCTCGTTATAGGTTTATGGTAAGAAAGTGAATCTTGAACCGATCTCTCCACTGCGTCTGTGAAAGCTGAAGACAATCAGTAAAATGAACTATTGATATATTTTTTAATTTATTTAAGATTAGTCGACTAAAATAATGCATTGTGTATTCCATAGACCTGATCTGGCCATATTTGGTAATCATATGTGTGTGTGTGTGTGTGTGTGTGTGTGTGTGTGTGTGTGTGTGTGTGTGTGTGTACTCACCTATTTGTGGTTGCAGGGGTCGAGACATAGCTCCTGGCCCCGCCTCTTCATTGGTCGCTACTAGGTCCTCTCTCTCCCTGCTCCATGAGCTTTATCATACCTCGTCTTAAAATTATGTATGGTTCCTGCCTCCACTACATCGCTTGCGTGTGTGTGTGTGCTTGTGCGTATGTATAACATGAATGTGTATATGCAACTCACATATGTGTGTCTGTATGCATGTGTGACTTCCTGCATCAATTGGCTGCATTATTATCGTTTCTGTCACTTGTAATTAATTCATCATTCTTACCTTAAACTTATGTATGACATTTGCCAGTATTGATGTAATAGGCGTCCGCTCACCCTCTTCACTCTAAAGTACGTTTTGTATTTAACTGTCGTTTAAGCTCTCTTAGATCCTCTTTCTCCTTCTCCTCTTCCTCCTCCTCAGACTCATCTTCTCACACATTCGGCAGATGTGAGAACACTAGCACGTGCGGGGTGAAGTGTCTCAAACTAGGATCACGGCACCGACCTCGGCTCACTAACACCCCCCAAACAAACACAACACACACACACACACACACACACACACACACACACACACACACACACACACACACACACACACACACACACACACACACACACACACACACACACATACACACATACACACACGTACACACATACATACACACATACACATACACACATACACATACACACACATACACACATACACACACATACACACACACACACACACACACACACACACACACACACACACACACACACACACACACACACACACACACACACACACACACACACACACACACACACACACGTGAAGCAGTATCGCTAAATAGTGCTCCCAGGATTTAGCGTTCTAGTGGCTGTCCTAAGATATTATTAGCGGTCATCGTACGTGAGTGAATCAGTGAATATACTACCTACAAGAGTGTAATAACTTTCAAGAGTGCGAATAATGTGATAAGATCAAGAATTTTACAATTTAAATTTGAATGATTGGTGAGTGAGGGAGGGTAGCAGTCAGCTGGTCAGGCTGCTGGCTGCAGTGTTGACACAAAATATCCAAACAGTTAATTGGGTTAACGGTGTGATCTGAAATATTAACAAATACATATGTTAGTTGGTTATAACAGCAGTGTAGTGATAAGGTCATAAACGAGTGATTAAGTAAATACTGAAAGTAAGAAAAAATTAGTCAATCCCCAGCTGTTGGTGTTGTGAATGTAGTTAATATCATCAGATTTGTTATGACCAATACTGTACTAAAGAAAAAAAGAGTGAATACCAAGTCTTAAAAGAAAAAGAAAATAAAAACTTGAATACATGATAAAGTTCCTGAAGGAGTTAAAAAAGTGAAGGAGTTGATAGCAGCCGACCAGCAGGAACCTCCATTGTTGTGCAGACGACATCACTTGCCTATTTGTGGTTAATTTTGGTTAGTGTCTAAAGTCTCAGTGTCTCGCCCTGCTGGTTGTATGCTATACCATCACTCTCTCCCTAACTTCCAGTGCCAGGAGATAGATAGTGGTAACCCTGATAATGTTTAGTAAATTATCTAAATATCTTCAGAAGAGCTGTGTAGCCTAGTGCCCCCTCACCCCCCCTGACAGCGTCAAGCTAGTAAACAAGTACGTACATACAAACACACGTGTTCACCAGTAATTATTATAATAAACATTAGTATATATTAATAAGGAATTGAGTGAAAAATAATCCTATAATCTTCAAAAAAGTAACGTAGCCTAGTGTGCAAAGATCCTGGCCGGGAGAGTACCGGTGAACCAACAATAACTATAATAGTGTTAACGTGACCCCCCCCCCTCTTTTTCAAAGAACGACAAGCTAGTAAACACACACCCACCCACACACCCACACACCCACCCACCCACCCACCACCCACACACCTACCCACACACCCACCCACACACCCACCCACACACCCACCCACCCACCCACCACCCACCCACACACCCACCTACACACACCCACCTACACCCACCCACACACGCACCCACACCCACACACACCCACACACCCACCCAACACACCCACACACCCACCCACACACCCACACGCACCCACCCACACCCACCACACACACACACACACACACACACACACACACACACACACACCACACACACACACACACACACACACACACATATACTCACACACATACACACCCACATACCCACATACACACCCACACACACACATACACACACACATACACTTACACACATATACGCAGAGGAACTGTGTGTGCCATTAGCAGCAATCTTCAGTAAATCTATCGAAACAGGGCAGTTGCCTGAGGCGTGGAAGACAGCCCATGTAGTTACAATTTTTAAGAAAGGGGACAGACAGGCAGCATTAAACTACAGACCAGTGTCACTGACTTGTATAGTATGTAAAGTCATGGAAAAAATTATCAGGAGAAAAGTGGTGGAACACATCGAAAAAATTGGGCTCATACATGACAGTCAGCACGGCTTCAGAGATGAGAAATCCTGTGTCACAAATTTACTTGAGTTCTACGATAAGGTAACAGAAATAAGACAGGAGAGAGAGGGATGGGTAGATTGCATCTTCTTAGATTGCAAGAAGGCTTTTGACACAGTACCACACAAGAGACTGGTGCAAAAATTCGAGGAGCAGGCAGGAATAAAGGGGAAAGTACTGCAATGGATCAGGGAATACCTGACAGGAAGGAAACAACGTGTGTTGGTACGTGCTGAAGTGTCGGAGTGGGCTAATGTGTCGAGTGGGGTTCCACAAGGTTCAGTCCTAGGCCCGGTGCTGTTTCTTGTATACGTGAATGACATGGTGGAAGGAATAGATTCAGAAGTGTCACTGTTCGCTGATGATGTGAAACTGATGAGGAGAATACAAGTGGGAGAGGATCAGTTAAGATTACATGGGGATCTGGACAAACTACAAGTATGGTCCGACAAATGGCTTCTGGAGTTTAACCCCAGTAAGTGTAAGGTCATGAAGATTGGAGAAGGACACAGAAGACCGCAGACGGAGTACAGGTTAGGAAACCAACAGCTGCAAACGTCAGTTAAAGAAAAGGATCTTGGGGTAAGCATTATAACGAACATGTCCCCTGAGGCACACATCAATTAAATAACTGCTGCAGCATATGGGAGATTGGCAAACCTGAGATTGGCGTTTAGACATCTGAGTAAGGAGTCATTCACGACATTGTACACAGTATACGTAAGGCCTATACTGGAATATGCAGCGCCAGTATGGAACCCTCACTTAGTCAAACACGTCAAGAAATTGGAGAAAGTGCAAAAATTTGCAACACGATTAGTCCCGGAACTGAGGGGTGTGTCTTATGAGGAGAGGTTAAGGGAACTTAACCTGATGACACTAGAGGATAGGAGGGATAGAGGGGACATGATAACAACGTATAAAATACTAAGAGGCATTGACAACGTGGACAAGGAACGAATGTTTCAGAGATGGGATACAGAAACACGGGGACACAATTGGAAACTG